TTTCACATTTTACGAGTATATTTTTCACAGACATGTGAAAGAAAATCCAGTATACAAAATTTTGAACACATGCCCGATGAAAGTATAAATTCTATAACTGAAAAAAGCTTGGATGATAAACATTCCTCCACAGGTTATGATAAAGTCCATAGATCAGACTGCAGCATGATGGCTATATTATACTGTATCGAAAGAAGCATAAATCCAACCAGTATCCGGTTAAACAGATGGGAGAAGAAAGATTTCTGGAAGGGGTAAATTATCTCTAGGAACCTTTGCTTTCCAAGAACTCCCAAAGAGCTGCAGCTACATAGGTTGTGCTAAAGGGGATGACCTATATAGGTATCAAGAGTATTCCCTTTAGAGCACCCACAAAATGCAGTTTTGACAGAATCCTAAATGGAAGATTAGGTCTGTTTGAAGTGCCCGGAAACCACAGACATGTCTGTAAGGGATCCAACAGCCTGTAAACCCTGCACCCCCCCCCCCCTAAAAAAATACAATTAAAGAAGGCTTTGTAACAAATTAAGGTTTGTTGAAACATTTATTTTATTTTTCATTTAATACCTTCATTTTAATGGATTTCATTAAGCAACATTATTCCCTAGTGAATGCAATAGGGGTTTTAATTAAATGTTGTTTTAATACATGGGAGGACACACATCATAGGTTTAGAATGCACAAGTCCAGCATCATTTAGGTGTGATCTGTACTATAAAGATATTTTTATGGCAATGAGCAACAGAATTCCTCATTACTGCAGCTACATGCCGTTATCAAATACTAATCCCTAAACTGTATGGCTAGCAAAAAAAAAAAGGTAGGTGCACATAGCACAGTTTAGTAAATGTGACCCAGCACTCAGCTTTGGTTGTTTTATTTCCAGCAGTAAACATGGCTTCTACATTTTTTAGAAGTAATAGGATTGCTGCCCACATGAGGCGAGCATTCAATGGTTTTGATGCAGGAAATCCTCACGACGTTCAGCTATTACTGCACAACAAATGCCTCCCATTAGCCCTATTCTGGGACTTATTTTGTTTTTATCTGTAATCAAATCCTTAAAAAAAGTCCCTCCATCTAAACCTAGCTCACTACAGCTAGAGGTTAATTATTACATTTATCAGTGGATTGTAAAAAGGATATTGTAGAGCAGACATGGAATTGTAATTGTTTCTCTAATTCCTATAGGCAGCATGAGGCGCTACGATGAGCAAAGCACTGTCTTCGCTGGCTTATGTGAATTTATGACAATTTTATGAGCAACATATGTAGGACACTACACAGGCACTGCATTTCCTACTATTGCCTGGTATTTGACACACAACCATTGCCTCCGTGTGGCTCTTTCTTAGCAGGTATTGGCTAAGGAGCCGCATATATAAGATGCTGCCACTTCAAAATATCAATATTGCACTTGCTGTACTGGCTAATTCATTATGTTACTAAATTAATCAATGTCAGTGTTGACAAAAGAGGCAGCATCAATCTGACATACTCTAGTCACAAGCAGCTTTGGCCTTCTAAATTGTTGCTGAAAACTATCCATATTTTTACCGATTCACCTTTGACTGCATAAACACAATTATCAGTTGCTGGTTGAGCCTTTACAAATAAAGCCATCAAATTCAAATAAGAAAGCAATTCTAATCTGCAGGTCCCTCTGGTGGTGAAAGTGTTAAAATCAATTCAGCAGAACTGCAAGATATAAAATCGAAAATAGCATTTAAATAATAACACCCTCCTTCAAAACTGCAAAGGCAGACCTTATAAAAGATCAGAGGTCTGTAAATGAGCAATTTATGCACCAATGAAATCTAAGTGACTGGTGGATTGGGCACCACATACTGGGAATATATATATATGTGTTTATTTATTGTACATACGAAACAACTATTTTGTGTTTGATGTAGGATATTATGCTTTGCAGATTATCATATCTATTTGTAACCAAACTCCTGTTTTGTTCTGGGTAAAGCCACGGGCTAAAATCTAAAACTTTATCAGCAACTTCCACAACAACTTTCATAATCAATTCTCTGAAAAAAGAAAAAAAAAACAGCAAATCCATACTATTAAAAAAATAATTTAGCTTTCTGTTCCAGTTACCTATGTAAAGATTGCTTAAAGCATGTAATAAAGATGCAATGGCCCCCATAAAAGAAAACTAGCTAGCATAGTGACTAATTGGAGTATGCTTTAGGGATAAAAGTAACTATGCAAAGCACAATTTCTCACAGGAGGTTAACAAATGACATTTCGGCTCCCCAACTCCTGCAAGAAGAGGCAAAAGCAGTTTAAAGTGCTCAGTGGCACTCCATATTCATGTGCACTGCTACAGGAAGCCTTCAGAGATTTCTATAGAAAGGTCAGATTAAAGAAGGAAATCAATTCATTTTTAGGAAAGCAACACCACCCCACACACACAATTTTTGCAAATAACACATAAAACTTCACCTGACCATCAAAACAAGCATCATTCACTTGGGCACAACTGCTTTTGTGTTCACTGCATTCCTAATGAGCTTACAAGCCATATTACTTACCTGTGTGAAGAGGAGTAGGAGATCATGGTAAACTGCTCAGGAGCCAGCAGCAGGTGAACAGTAACAAGAGATTCTCTGCGTCCTGCAATGAATTCACCTCCACCTGACGGTGAGCTAGCTGGAAGGAACAGGCATTTCCTTGCGAGCGCACATAGGGGGAGACAGCATGTACATGAGGATGCAGCTTCTCAAGGCTTGCTCCAGAGCAATAAGCGAGTGTGATTCACAGGTTGGTTTGATGAGAGCATGCAGAGGAACAGGTCATAGAACGGAAACCCAGCCTCCTGAGCTCTGTTATTCTGCAGATCCTGTATGTCAGTCACATTTGTACCCAAGATACAGCCAGTTTGTAGTGCAGGGGTTAAACACCAGAGTGCAGATAGAATAGCTTTACCAGGCATTAACGCTTGCCTTCTTTACTCCCAAATAGCCCCCCTCCCCCTTCCTTTACAGCCACTCCAGTGGATTGGAGCTGCTCCTGACTGTTTCTCTCTACTTGGGGGCGTGCGTATAGTGTGCTGACAGAGGGGTAGAAGGGTGGGAGCTGGACCAGGGGGTGCACATTACCCCTGCCGTCAAAGGGAAGCAAAGTCAGCAATTGGCGTTGATGACGCTGCACTGGCAGAAGAGCCAATCGCATCCTTCCTGCCCCTGGCAGCTGAAGCCTCATTTCTGCATTTATCCCAATGCAGGCTAAGACGAGGATGGAACATGCAATAGAAGAGGAGAAGGGGAAAAAAATGTACAGCACTTGAAAGCCATCATTAACTGATTTTACTGAAAGAAAACCAGAGGAGCATCAGTCTCTGCAAGCTGTGGACTCTTACAACTCAGGCTGCCTGCTCTGTTTAACTCCTTTCCCAGATAAAGAAGAAAAAAAGATAAAAGGGGGAAGGGAATGTGAAGCAGCCAATGCAACTTAGCTGGAAGCTTTGAACATTAACCCCTAGAGGGAAAGGAAAGGAGGAGTGGGAGGGGAGCAGTGTGAATACATAGGAGCACTGCATCACGCTAATGTTCAGCACAGAACAGTATGCGTCAGCAGTACATCCACGTTCTGACTGAAGGACGAAAGGATGAGAGAGCAGCCTGGCTGGTTGGCTGCTGCTTCCAACACCAAGCAAACAGGGAAAGAGGAGGACTGTTAACAGAGGAAAATGCTACGGAGCTCTGATATCGCTGCCTGTGCTGCTGCTGCTGCTGCTGCCTGCTCTCCTGCTGCTACAACAACTGGACAAGAAATTAAAGGTAAAACGTGGAGAAGCACTCAACTCACTACCTCACTACAAAAGGAGCTACAGTGGGATTTCCACAAGGCAGGAGAGGAAAGGCTGTGAAATCTGTCCCTTCTCCGGACCAATCTTAACCAAGGGCTCAGCACTGAGGTGTGCGACCGTGTGCGTGTGTGTGTGTTCCCCTCTCCAGCGTACTTTCTACCAGCTCTCCTTTCCCCACATCTGACCCCCCTTTTACTTGCTCTCCTCTGAGATATTGGTGGATTATTGCTAAGTGTGCAAGAGAGAGGCTGCAGCTGCTGCATCCGTGGCTTGGAAAGCAAAGCTAGTTAAAAAAAAAAAAAAAAAAAAGGCAGCAAGGAGAAAAGGGAAAAAACACAGCAGTCAATGCCTGCAATGTGCTGCCTTTCTCTTTGTACAAACCAGAATCCTGCAGACAGTCTGTCTATTGCAGGAATACCCATGGAATATTAGGAGACTGAGAAAACACAGCGCCCTTCAAAGGGAATTAGAGGGGCTGGAAAGATTTGGAATTGTGCATCTTTCTTTGAATTCTCAAAAAAAAAAATCTATTGAAAGCTGCATTTTGTATTCTTTTAGAAATGGATAATCTCCAGTCTTCTGTCGGAGACAGCAGTGGAATCCAAGGACGAATAGCTCAACTGCAAAAGGCACCAGTCCCGGGGGAACAGCAGAATGATGCACCTGCATAGCCAAGTGGGCCTCACTCCCTTCTTACATTTCTCTTAATTTGTTTTTTTTTTTTTTTTCCCTTTTTTGTGCTCTTCTTTGGGATCTACTGAAGGAGCCATTTTGCCTCTCATCATCATCACCATCATCATCACATGCCTATTACCTTCTGTAATTTCATTCAGTAATTAAATTGAGGAATATATGGAAAGACAAACAGAGCCCACAGTTTTGCTGGACAGAGGCACTGGCACGAGGAATATGAAAAGATCCTCCTTTCCTAGGTAATTGTAATTAAACTCCTTCGCTTTTTTTTTTTTTTTTTTTAACCTGTATAATGAATTATATTTTGCCATTTATCTTTTTAAAAGCTGGCTGTCTCACTGTCTAGTATCCCTCCTACTGACCACCACTCCCACCTGTGTATAGATGGAAAAGGGAATTTGCAGCCTCCTGAAGCCTGGGTAGGGCCAAGTTCTCGTTTCCATGCCAAGTCCCAGACGATGGTGAATTATGAACGTGCCACATCATGAATTTCTTGTGGCTGGTAACTGTGCACCATACCTGGAAGGCCGTCCTATTCTCTGTAATCTACCTCATGGTGCAAATGTGGATCCCCTGTGAAGCATTTTCAGGGCAGCAAAACTGCCCTTCTGTCTGTTCCTGCAGTAACCAGTTTAGCAAAGTGGTCTGTACGCGACGTGGCCTCTCTGAAGTACCACAAGGTATCCCATCTAACACAAGGTACCTCAATCTCATGGAGAATAACATCCACATGATCCAAGCGGATACTTTCCGGCATCTTCACCATTTGGAGGTGTTACAACTTGGTAGAAACATTATCCGTCAAATAGAGGTTGGGGCTTTTAATGGTTTGGCCAGCCTCAACACTCTGGAGTTGTTTGACAACAGACTGACTGTAATCCCCAGCGGGGCTTTTGAGTATCTTTCTAAGTTGAGAGAACTGTGGCTCAGGAATAACCCTATTGAGAGCATTCCATCCTACGCTTTCAATAGGGTACCATCACTGATGCGCCTGGACCTTGGAGAACTTAAAAAGTTGGAATATATTTCCGAGGGAGCTTTTGAGGGATTGTACAATCTAAAGTACCTCAACCTTGGAATGTGTAATATCAGAGACATGCCAAACCTTACACCCTTGATAGGGCTAGAGGAATTAGAGATCTCTGGGAACAACTTTCCTGAAATCAAACCTGGATCTTTCTATGGGTTGAGAGCACTAAAAAAGTTGTGGATTATGAACTCCCAGATAAACACCATAGAGCGCAATGCTTTTGATGATTTGACATCCTTAGTAGAGTTGAACTTGGCCCACAATAACTTATCATCCCTTCCACATGAACTATTTGCTCATTTGAGGTACTTAGTGGAGTTACATTTGCACCACAACCCATGGGACTGCGATTGTGATGTTCTCTGGCTCGCCTCCTGGCTGCGAGAATATATTCCTACCAACTCCACGTGCTGTGGTCGCTGCCATTCCCCACCGCACATGAAGGGGAAGTATGTGGTTGAGGTGGACCACTCATCATTTCAGTGCTCAGCCCCATTTATTATGGACGCGCCAAGGGATTTAAATATCTCTGAAGGAAGAGTGGCAGAACTCAAGTGTAGAACTTCAGCCATGTCATCTGTTAGGTGGCTGCTACCTAACGGTACTGTGCTAAGCCACGCTTCCAATCATCCACGAATTACCATCCTCAATGATGGGACGTTAAACTTCTCTCATGTACTGCTCACTGACACAGGGGTCTATACATGCATGGTAACCAATGTGGCAGGAAACTCAAATGCTTCGGCCTATCTCAATGTCAGTACCGCAGAGCTCAACACTTCAAACTACAGCTTCTTCACTACTGTCACTGTGGAGACCACGGATATGGCTCCCGAGGACATCTCTATGATAATCAAACCGGTGCCAACAACTTCCACGGGGTACCAGCCAGCATATACTACCACTACGACCGTGCTTGTCCAGACCACCAAAATGCCCAAACAGGTGGCAGTGCCAACTTCAGATGCTGGAGATAAAATGCAAACTAGCCTGGATGAGGTAATGAAAACCACCAAGATTATTATTGGCTGCTTTGTGGCAGTCACACTTTTGGCAGCCGCCATGCTAATAGTGTTTTACAAACTACGAAAAAGGCATCAACAGAGGAGCACTGTGGCGGCTGCGCGAACTGTCGAGATAATCCAAGTGGACGAAGACATCCCAAGTGGGAGTCCCACTGGAGTATCAGGTGAGGGGGCGGTTGTGTTGCCGACCATTCACGACCATATGAACTTTAACACCTACAAGCCAGCACATCATGGGGCCCATTGGACGGCTAACAGTATCGGTAATTCTCTACACTCCACAATTACAACCATCTCTGAACCTTATATAATTCAGACCCACACAAAAGAGAAGGTACAGGAAACTCAAATATGACTTTTTTTCAAATTAAATGCAATAGAATGCACAAAAGACAGCAACTTTTGTACAGAAAGAGAGACAATTTTGTTTTCTTGTAAATGCTTATATATTAAATCTATGGGCTGATGAGAGAAACAGATTATATTAAAATTTAAAACTATTTTCTAACTTGTAAGTTCTATTTAAAGAGGTGTAATGAATAGACAGAAAATTATATAAGGTATGCTGTTAAATGTGCCATAATGACTACATTCAAGGTTTAGCCCTGTTTAATTAGGAAGCCAAAATAAGAAACCCTTGAATGCAATCACCGTTTTTGGGAAAAAAAAATACTGCTCTGATATACGAGCAACACCCCATTTCTAAGGAAATTTTTTTTGTTAAGTCCCAGATCAATCTTTGCAACAAAAAAACAAAAAAAAAAAACAAAAAAAAAACAAACAAAAAGGGAAAAAGCACCACAAATTTGTACTGTGCCAAACGAAAAAAAAATTAAATGCAATAAAGGAATTTTTGGACACTTTGAGGGAAATAATTTGTTATACCAGTTATTTTAATACAGCATTCCTAAATTATTTTTTCATACAGGGTATGAAGGCACCTTATGTGGCTGAGGTTGTCTGCTTTGCAATACCTAGGATCCCTAAGTCACTACTAAAAAGAAAAGAATATCGTAAGAAATTAAAAAAAAAAAAAACAAAAAAAAAAAAAACCAAAGTGTTTTGCTCCAGTATACACATCTAGCAAACACACGATGCAGGATGCTAAAGAGCTGGCGCATCTTTCCACTCTGCACCAAACTCCTGCAGATCTATTTAACCCTTCCTCAGGCTGATGAGGTTTCTTGTTGAGAAAATGTGTGATAACAGCATGAGCAGTTAGATTGGCTGGGTCTGAGGCTGAATTTGTGTGCAATCCTTTTGTATTTGAAAAGGTCTGCAGTGCTTTGACATGTAAAAACAATCTCAGAAGGGGTTAGGAAAGGGGTTAATAAATGCTCCTAGGTTAACTCATCAGGGTTTGCAAGATACAAAGGAAACAAGCAAGGAGATGCTTTGTAACTGTTTTATGCTGATTTGTCTTTTGCTGCAGTAAAGTGACAGCAATGTGAAGATCCTCTTAGCTAACAAGTAGTAAATAACAGCTTGTTCATATAAGCCACAAGTCTTTGACCCTAGAACACAAATCTCACTACAGGGAAATGAAGCAAGGGTTAATATTGTGTCATCATTGGTCTACAGATTGTAACTAGAAAATGGTATGTGTACATCTTACAATATATTGTGGTTTCCCATACCCATCAAAAGAGGGCTGTAATTTACTGTGCTGTAGTGTATGCTGCAGGCCCCTTCTTGTGGTAAGGGGTAATACGGAGATCTTTGCAGATAAAAATCCTAGCAACCAGATTGGGGTAGAAAATACCTTTGCTCATTGTCTTTCTGCATTGAATAAAAAACATCTCTACTTGCTGCTATGGAGAGAAATGTTTCCTTCATTGTAATGCTACAATAAGGCATTGGTGATGGATGAGCCACTCACTATGGTAGCGTAGAAGTTCTGGGCTAAATTGCAGAATTGATAAAGCTGTCAGTTCTCTTATAGATGTCTTATAGATAATAAATGTAATGCTTAATGCAAGAATGTTTATTCCAAGAAGCTTGCAGTTCTGTGTGCATTGGGAAGTTGCGTGCACATACATTTTAGCCAACAGAATTTTACTGCAGTGAAAACAGCAGAGTAAATAGAAATTATCCTTAAAATGTAAAAGCTTAGATTACAAGGTCACCTGGAGTTCTACTCAACCAACAATATCACAGTCTCTGGTGCCCTGCTTTCTATTAACAGATGTTACCTCCCAGCAAATCTCTGTCCCTGTCACTACATTGCAGTCAGTCTTTTTCTTGGGATTGTTTTCAATGCTGCTGCGTCAAAGTCAAAATACTGCCTTTACATATGCTGGTCTGTGTACAACTAAGCTTGTGGATTGTGTGTAATAATGGTCTCAGAAGGTTTTACTGCATTGATTTGCCATCTGTGCCTTATTGATCAGGACACTATGGGCACAAAATGCTTTGAAAAAAAGTTTACTGGTTCATAATAGTATGTTGATAGGCACATGACTGTCTAAACAAACAGCCAGAATAGATACGCTGAGATAATGATTTGTCAAACAAGTTATCAACAGAATCAGCTGCTGTGTAGCAATTTCAGCAGTCTCTCATTAAGAAAAGGATTTGCAACAGTTTTTGTGTGCGTTTGCAAGTTTGAACACTTCAATCCTGGACAGGCAACTGCGACAGTTATGCAAACAACTGTACAGATTTATCATGCTGCTGCAATAGTTTTCCACTTAAAAAACACACCCAACTAAGCAGCAGTCATTGACATGTGTGGTTCTGCTACTGAACAGTAGAAGAAGGAATTTATGAATGAAAATGTGATGTTCTATTTGTCTTCGCTCCCCTGATTGCACTGCTTTCATGTGCAGAAAAATCATTCAATCTCTGCTGTGGCTAAATTTTTTTTGGAACCAAGTGCAATACTGGCTTTACACTTCTCAAATTTCAGCTCATTCCTGCTGGCTCAGCCAAAATTTCAACAGTGTAGGGCCCTCCCAACACTGCTTCATTCAACAAAGGTTGATTGTTCAAATCAACCTTTGTCGAAGAATCCTGTTGGAAAACTGACAGCAGAACAGCTCCTAGAGCCAATCAGATACAGGCACTGTTCAGATATTCTGACACCTGGCAGTGTCGGCTGTCAGAACACAGTAGCCTGGCAGGAGGAATTTTGTCCGTACATTCTTAGCGTAGATTGAGGTATCTGCTCGTTTTCTTCGAAATCAGAAAATAAATCACTTATATGGCCCAGGTTACAGAATAAATTCACCTTTGGAACATGTAACAAGTTCCATCTGTTTTTAGGGTGGACCATGTAATATGTTCAAGCATCTGCTCCCTCTTACTCTTGATCCCCCCTCCCTGTGATGGCGGGTGGTAGATCCTCTCCCCACACCTGCTGTCACAACTTGAAAACAGTACAGCAAACAAGGCTCTGCCCACACGGCTCTATCATTCATTCAGTTTCCTGTGAATGAATGCCTACAAGTACCGTCAGCCATTGCGGCTGATGGCACGTAGTTCTTAATGAACTATGAGGGTGCTGATGAGAACTCTAGTAGTTCATTGATTACTCCTGTTTACAAGTAACTGCCTGCCCGTACAAGATATGAGCAGACAGCTATCCTGAAAGTCTGAATGAGCCTGACAATGCAACCTGCGATCTGCTGATCACGGGTGCAATGGTCTGCAGGCTCATTATGCAAAAAAAAGTGCATTTTTTTTTTCCCCAAAGGTGAACTTGGCCTTTAAGGAATTATAGAACCCTTTACATATGGCAATTAGGCCTAAGTGATAGTTTAGATGTAGCAAAGTTCAACAAAATATTATTGTATGTGAAGAGAAAGGGATAGGGTGTAACATGCTACAAAGAACACCATTATTTTTAGCTTCATACACTACAAAGTAGCCTGTGTGGTTCAGTTCTTAGAGGAGTTTGTTAAAATATGAGCTGCCCTGTACGGTACCAACCATTACCACTGTACATCACTGTTTTATCTCAAGCACTTCATGCATGAAAGTATGCCATTCTTTGTTAAGGAGGGCAGAAAAGACTTTCAGTTAGGATAACTGAACCCCACCTCACTAGCCTTCTCACATGCACTGCATCAAATCAGTGCCTTTCTCTGATTATCTACAAGACAAAAGGGGCTGGCAACATATAAATAAGCATGGCAATAAAAACTCTCACTGACCACATCAACAAACAGCCATCATTGTTTCATTTGTTTTGACTGCAGATAATGAACATTTGACAGAAATGATAGTTGGAAAATGGTGGGTTATAGGCAACAAAAAAAGGTCTTGTTAGCACACTTTCAACTTTTCAAACATCTGCCCTGCCTCCTTGTGTACTGTACACGCCTGGCAGGCGAATGACAGCAGAAGTAAGCAGTGGGCGACTTTCATTGCATTTTGGGAGTTCTCACTTATGCTGTAGATATGCAAGAATTGTTTCCTTGTTTAGGTGCCAAAATGGCCTGTTTGACGTTATATGATTTTAAATTAAAGCATGTATTTGTAACAAAAATCAGAACTTAAATCAAAACAGATGAACGTGCAGCTGAAATGGATGTCCAAATTTACCTGAAACTCTGTTTTGCCTTGTTATTTAGACATCTCTGTCACATTGTATAGCCAGGATGATTACGGTTTTCTGAATCACCTCTCTGTACACGGAACAGAGGCAAAGTGGTTGATTTATTGTGCTATTCGCACCTGGAGATGGAGGGGTGACATAGAAAATTAGAAAATTTAACAAAGGACAAGTTGATTGGCTGTGTGGTGTGTGGCAAAGGTGCCTGAACAAAAAGTTTGGAAAGCAAAATGGTCGACATCTGTATTTCAATTGCAGCTGCAAGCCTGGAGTTCTACTTTAATCATTAGCTTGTGAAAAGCCTACGGTAGTGCCCCACAGTTCAATTCAACTCTAGTAATGGCCTGATATGAACAAAAACCAGCCACATAGCATTTCCAGGGCATAAAACCGATTCTGTCAGTTACAGTGGTTGTAAAGACAGAGGAAGGAGAAGGCTCTGTGTGTCTTATGGACTCACAGGGCCAGCTTGGGTGTGAGCAGGGGAGCCAGGAGCGCAGGCAGGTGACCTCAGATCGGATCGGGGCTGCTTTGTGCAAAATCATTGCACAGAGCAGGTATGACAGGTTTGTTATTTTAATCACTTGAACTCTGGGAGGTTTTACCCCCTTCATATCCAGGCCATTTTTTGTTATTTAGCACTGCGCTACTTAACTGGTAACTGTGTGGTCAGAGCTGTACCCAAAATACATTTTTATCATTTTTTCACATAGACCTTTCTTTTGGTGGTATTTGATCACCACTGTTTTTTTGTATGTTTTATTATATAAACAAAAACACCTTTTTTAACTTTCTGCTAT